CATCCCATCCCATCCCATCCCATCCCATCCCATCCCATCCCATCCCATCCCATCCCATCCCATCCCATTCCCATCCCATTCCCACTTCTCTGGCACATTTGTCCTGGGATCTCTCCCGGGATCTCTCCCCAGGTCTGGTGCCCCACCCCATCTTCCATTCCCATCCCAGTTCCATCCCATCCCATCCATCCCATCCTATCCATCCCACCCTGCTCCCACCATTCCCATTCCCATCCCATTCCCACCTGGGCTCCCTCCCTGGAGCTGCCCCAGGATCCTCCTGGCGCGTCTCTTGACCCCCTCTGGAATTTCGGGATATTCCAGGAGGGCGGGATAGGCGCAGATGGCCGCCACCTGCGGGGGGGGGGACCCGAATTCCCGGATTGATCCCACAGCATTCCCGGGATTCCCTGGGATGTTCCCAGATCAATCCCACGGCATTCCCGGGATTCCCCAGGATGCTCCCGAACTACTCCCAAGTCATTCCTGGGATTCCCTGGGATGTTCCCGGATCGTCCCCTCAGCATTCCCGGATTCCCTGGGATGTTCCCAGATCAATCCTGCGGTATTCCCAGGATGTCCCAGATCGATCCCGAGTCATTCCCAGGATTCCCTGGGATGTTCCCAGATTGTCCCCTCAGCACTCCTGGGATTCCCTGGGATGCTCCCAGATCAGTCCCGCGGCATTCCCGGGATTCCCCAGGATGCTCCCGGAGCGATCCTGCGTCATTCCCGGGATTCCCTGGGATGTTCTCGAATCGTCCCCTCAGCATTCCCGGGATTCCCTGGGATGTTCCCCAATCGATCCCACGGCATTCCCGGGATTCCCTGGGATGTTCCCGGATCAATCCCGCAACATTCCCAGGATTCCCCAGGATACTCCTGGATCGTCCCCACGGCGTTCCCAGGATTCCCGGGGATGTTCCCAGATTGTCCCCTCAGCATTCCTGGGATTCCCTGGGATGTTCCCGGATTGTCCCCGCGGCATTCCCAAGATTCCCCAGGATGCTCCCAGAGCACTCCTGCATCATTCCCGGGATTCCCCGGGATGTTCCCGGAACGCTCCCATGGCATTCCCAAGATTCCCTGGGATGCTCCCAGATCGATCCCACGGCATTCCCGGGATTCCCTGGGATGCTCCCGGATCAATCCCATGGCATTCCCAGGATTCCCTGGGATATTCCAGGAGTACTCCCACAGCATTCCCAGGATCCCCCAGGATGTTCCTGGATCGATCCCGCGGCATTCCCGGGATTCCCTGGGATGCTCCCAGATTGTCCCCACAGCATTCCCAAGATTCCCCGGGATGTTCCCGGATCAATCCCGCTGAATTCCCAGAATCTCCTGGGATGTTCCCAGATCAGTCCCGCGGCATTCCCGGGATTCCCCAGGATGCTCCCGGAGCGATCCTGCAGCATTCCCGGATTCCCTGGGATGTTCCCGGATCGATCCCACGGCATTTCCAGGATTCCCTGGGATGCTCCCGGATTGTCCCTGCGGCATTCCCGGGATTCCCTGGGATGTTCCTGGATCAATCCCACGGCATTCCTGGGATTCCCTGGGATGTTCCCGGATCGATCCCACGGAATTCCCAGGATTCCCTGGGATGCTCCCAGAGCACTCCCACAGCATTCCCGGGATTCCCTGGGATGTTCCCGGATCAATCCTGCGGTATTCCCAGGATGTCCCAGATCGATCCCGAGTCATTCCCGGGATTCCCTGGGATGTTCCCAGATTGTCCCCTCAGCATTCCTGGGATTCCCTGGGATGCTCCCAGATCAGTCCCGCGGCATTCCCGGGATTCCCGGGGATGTTCCTAAATCATCCCCATGGCATTCCTGGGATTCCCGGGGACGTTCCCGGATCGATCCCGTGGCATTCCCAGGATTCCCTGGGATGCTCCTGGATCGTCCCCGGGTCATTCCCAGGATTCCCCGAGATGTTCCCGGATCGATCCCACGGTATTCCCGGGATTCCCCAGGATGTTCCCGGATCGATCCCACGGCATTCCCAGGATTGTCTGGGATGCTCCCGGATCATCCCCGTGGCATTCCCAGGATTCCCCGGGATGTTCCCGAACTGTTCCCGTGGCATTCCCAGGATTCCCCGGGATGCTCCCAGAGCACTCCTGCATCATTCCCGGGATTCCCTGGGATGTTCCTGGAGCGCTCCCACGGTATTCCCGGGATTCCCTGGGATGTTCCCGGATCAATCCCGCAGCATTCCCAGGATTCCCCAGGATGCTCCCGGATTGATCCCGCAGCATTCCCGGGATTCCCGGGGATATTCCCAGATTGTCCCCACAGCATTCCTGGGATTCCCTGGGATGCTCCCGGACTGCTCCCACAGCATTCCCGGGATTCCCTGGATCGTCCCCACGGAATTCCCTGGGATGCTCCCAAAGCACTCCCGAGTCATTCCCGGGATTCCCCAGGATATTCCCGGATCGATCCCGAGTCATTCCCGGGATTCCCTGGGATGTTCCTGGATCGATCCCACGGCATTCCCGGGATTCCCTGGGATATTCCCGACATTCCCAGGGATGTTCCCGGAGCGCTCCCACCGCATTCCCGGGGCTAATTCCC